CCGATCGCATTTTATACAACGTTGGCAAACCATGGTAAAGCGAGTAAGATTATCGAAAAGATGCAAAATGAGATCGCAATGAGCAGTGCAGATAACATTGGCAGACGTAGAGTGGTAGTGCTTTCGAAACCAATCGGTCCTCATAAGATGGAAGCAGCAATACTAGCGTGTTTCGGTCCAAAGGATGGTGTTGAACTTGATAACAATGGCAGCGTATCAACACCACCACAAATGTTGCATTCTGCACCTTACGACGAAATTCAACATTATCATGATAACGCTTCGTCCGAGGACACGTCATCTCCTCTCGAAACCCCCATACTCGAGCGAACTGACCCATTTGATAATGTTTCCTCATACTCTCATTTTCGAACCATACCACTGTTTCGTTCTACCACCATGCCAAATATTCCACCATCAACATCACCACCACCTTTCACCGAAAAATTTCTACCCATACCAAACCCACGACAACAAAGTTCACCAGGTTTGTCGACATCCGTACCCGAGATGAATGCTTTCCCGGTACCTTCTATATCACAAAGAATGGATCTTCGTGGACCACGAATACTCGTGGTTGAAGATAACGCAGTAAACAGGATGATTTTATCTAATTTCCTAAAAAAACGCGGAATTTACTTTGAAGAAGCCGAGAATGGAGCAATCGGCGTGGAGAAATATCGGAAAGCCTTGGAAAGAGAAGATATTGGTATCGATCTGAAAAAAGGATTTGACATTATATTTATGGGTAAGAGGGTGATTTATTTTGTCAAGTCGAGGTAACTGTACTACCCGATTTCTTACTCTGAATTTGGGAATTGTTTAACAGATATCCAGATGCCAGTGATGAACGGGAATGTAGCAACATCCGAAATTCGTCGGATAGAAAAGGAATACAACGAACGAAAGGGAAAATTGAAAAAGAAAACGATCACCGAAGCGATAAGAGAATTCAAAGTAATTCCTGCCACCACGTCATTTTTATTGAACTCGTTGTCTTCCGCAGGATTTCCGTCATCACTATTAAACACCGAGTCTATCAACACTGAAGACAATACCACCGATCCTTCGACGTCAACGCAAAATCGGTCCTTAATATTTGCACTGACTGGTTTGGCTAGTGATGAGGATAAACATGTTGCATTTGAAAGTGGGGTTGACGGATTCTTGACCAAGCCTGTTAGTCTAAAGACGTTGGATAAAGTGATCAAGAGATGGCATGAACTTGAAGAATTCGCTACGCAAATTCCCACTGACGCATTACCATCTTCAATGGATACATTAAACAAAGATAGAATAGAGAATGAGCAAGAAACGAAAGATGGTAAAAAAGAAGCACAAGAACAGGAGGAATTCAGAAAGAAAGGCATAGTAAGTATGTGCAACTGTTAGATAAAGAACAAAAAAAAAAAAGAAAAGAAAAAAAAGGTCAAAAAAATTATATATATACAAATTCTTCCATTTCATCATTGTGTAAAAAATTCTCAACAAAGCGTACCACTCTTTATTATCCACCGTCATCGTATTGTTCAATATTACATTGTATTTAATTTTAATTAAGATCGTTAATTATGAATATATATTAACTTGTAACCTTCTCTCTTCTCTTGTTGTATAGATATTATTTTTATTTTACTATTTTATATATATATTTAAAAACTTAATTGCATATATATATAGTATATACACAATTGTTTATAATCGACAAAAAAACGAATAGCTAGTGGGGATTACTATCATCTTGTAAAGTAGTGATTTAGTGTTTATAGTATAGTGTTTATCTTGTAATTTTTTTTTTTTTTTTCGTATTTATGTATAGTATTCTTGACCTGATTTTAATAGAAACATGCCAAACGATGATGTCGAATATTAAAAATGTGTGACAATTGACTTTCAAAATAATTTTTTATATTTTGGTATATTTAAGAATAGTAATCTCTTTTCGACTAATAATACAAGGATAGATAAATAGTTTTCAGAAACGATGATTATTTTTCCAAGAGTGATAGTCCACGCCCTCCGCTATCGCCGTTGTAATAATATCCACTAACAGTCTCGCACAAAATATGAGTCAATTCCTGAGATGCGCAATCTAATTGCCTCTGTACTTTATTCGCCTCTTCAACCGCCCCTCGTTCTCTAAGACATTTCTCACGTTTGGTCAAAAAATCCACCATTTTTTCCAAATACTCTACAATATCGCGTCGATCTTGTCGTTTCTTTGCCTCTCGAATTTCTTCCCCCTCTTCACAAT